TTAATGCAATGAAGCAAGTAAAATGAACAAATAACTCTCAAGATGTCGCTAAAAGTAGTATAACACAGTACTGTTTTGTACCCGTTTTTCTCTGAGAAGGAGTGAACATCACAACAGACATTTATACACCATTCGATAGCCCTTTTCAAGGGCTACATTCTAAACTATTTGTTTTTGAAAAAGGAGCAACTTCGATTTTTCACCTAATGTCCGCCTAGATGCCCACTGTGCTATGGGGGAAAATAATGAATTTCTTTACCATAACTTGAGTTTCCGTTTCCGACTAAGTTCCATTCAAAACTTGAGTCTTGATAATTAAAATTGAGAATACCGACAGAATTTCGATTTCTGCGCTCCTGATTTAGAAAATATAACGTATACGAAGTTTTTTCAATGTTGAATTTTTTTCTTATTGATGCACCCGATCTTGAAGACTCAAATTATATTACTAGATAGAGTTAAGTATCAGACAATTTTTGACAAAGTTGGAGAGTGTATTTCTTTGACTTGCTGTAGAAGTTTTGATGAAGCGTATGAAAAATTTCCAATTTCCAATTTTACTCGAAAAAATATTTTTTTCTCAAACAAAATTATTTTTTGAGGAACGATCATAGTTTCAAACCAAAAACTATATATGGTTAGATGCACAATAAAATTCTCTATCGAACCTGCTATTCAGCATTTTGATACCTTTAAATTTTTAAATCCGGCAGGGTCATTCAATTTATTTAAAAGCTAACAGGTGAGCCAGGATAAATGGTGCATTTTTGTTCTGTGTTTTTGAGTCACTTCCCAGTGATGCAAAGAGTTGGTTCTAGGCTCAATCGATAGAGTATTAAATTCTCTATAAAACCTGCTATATGAATCTCTGAGAGCATTTTTCTTGTTTGAGCACTATTCAAAATATTGTAGGATGCTCAGTTGTCAAACTGCGATACACTGAAGTTGTTTCGCTTTTTTTAGATTTTTAGCCCGTTGTCTGGTGTTCAATAGTTAATTTTTCTACGCAGCAAGATAGAGAATTTTGCGCTCTATCGATCTCATTCATTTACAACTTCATACAATGTTTCCGCTACATCAGCTGGAATCATAATTAGTTCTCAACCGGCTTTCGAATTTTTTCAAATTAAATTAATTTTTCTAATTAATGGTTTCAATTGAGAAACTTTGTTTATATATCAAAAGACGCAAAATTTCATTTTGTGTGAGATAATAAGACTAAACTCTGGATTCAGAACGTTTTACTGCTTTTATAGCCAAAAAACTAAAGTCTGTTAAAAATAGATTGAAAAGTTAGCTTTTTAAGACTTTTCTAGTCCTACGTGTGTAATGTCAATTTTGTTTTTCTAATAAAATTATGTAGGAATACTCATAACGTTAGAGGAAATGTCTTTTGTTTGTTTTTTTCTTTCTGTTGCAATTTTGTTTTTGATGGGTGTTACTGTTGTTTTATTTTTTGTTTCTCATATTTTTGTACATACTCACTTGTTGCATTTACCAAACATCATCATCCGTCATTAACTCGGAATAAAAGAGAAAAAAAAGAAAATAATAAAATTTAAGAATATTTGAAGACTTATCAGTTTTTTGCACAGAAATTTTCGTAGAAGATTTCACTGCAAAATTTCAAAAAATATGTGAGAAGATGCAGAATTTTCCGGTGAATCTTCTGTTTTCAAAATTCTTATGGAATCTCTTTTTGGATCAAGGTAAATGTTTTTCTATTTTCAGTGTGTCGCAGTTCGACAACTCAGCATCCTACAATATTTTGAATGGTGTTCAAACAAGAAAAATATTCTCAGAGACTCAGTAGGCTTTGCAGAGAATTCAATACTCTATCGCATAGACGGTGGAGCCACTAGGCTGGGTAAGGCTCAAGCCTTACCTCAATTTGGCTCTCTTAGGCTCAACCTTACCCCGTTCAAAAGATAAATATCAGTTTTCCACTAGGGATTTTTTATTGATCATACATTTAGCGCGTGACTATACAGCCACGCAATTCTTTTCTTTTTCTTTTTCTGTTGCCACATATACCGTTTAGTTTTGCGATTGAGTATTTTGTTTGACTCAGTAAATTTTTGAAAAGTGAGCCTTACCCCATATGAAAACGTTCCGCCGCCTCTGCTCTATCGATTGAGCCTAGAACCATCTTTCTGTACCACTGGAAAGTGTCTCAAAAACAAAGAACAAAAATGCTATATTCTTTTTATTTTGAAATATTGCAAAATGCATCTTGTTTGATTTTTCAATTTTATACTAAAAACATCAATAAATCTTGTTGAAAGAAAATACTATTCAAATACAAAGACATAACAATAAATAGAAAATATTATTCATACAATCATTGGCTCAAAGATAGGTGTATTATTCATAACACGTTGAAAATTAAATCGTGAAAGATCAATTGATTTGAAATTTGAATCGATTAAATATTCTGAAATTGCTCGTCCAATAGCAGGTGCATGCTGTAAACCGTGACCACTTGAACCATTAGCAAATATAAAATTATTTTGTCGTGGATGACTACCAATAATTAAATTTTGATCAAAATAATTATAATCATAAAAGCCAGCCCATGCATTTCTTAATTTTAATGTTTCAAAACTTGGAACACGTCGAGCTAATACGGGCCAAATTTTTTCTTCAAATACACTATAATCAACATCTAAATTGTCACTTTTTACATCTTCATCCTACAATAGAATATAAATACTTTGTTCCATAAATAAATTTTTTTGTTTTAAATGACAATCAACTCACTTCAGGTGGACTCCAGCCGCATATATATTTGTTGCCTAAGCCTTCAGGACGAAAATAAACACCTGATAAGTCAATTGTCAGTGGTGCTAAAGGACCAGGACCATTTTCAGATTCAAATACGAAAATAAATCGTTTCCTTAAATATTGGAGAAAAGGTGACATACGAATTAATGTCAATAAAAGTCGTTGTTTTATTATTATTTTCCTACTATAATAAATTTTTTCAATAGATATCCTTTGGTAAATGAGGTAAAAACTACGTCCAGTGATCCATACTCGACTATTATATATATATATATATATATCACATTTAGAATGAAGAGTGATACATTCTGACAATGGAAAAAGAGCATCTTGTCGTAATTTTTTATTTGAAAATGTCAATGCTTATCGGTAGTTCAATTTTATTCGGTATAAATTAATTTGTGTGAAAAAATCAGAGATAATTTATATCGTCAAAAGCGTTTCTCTTGTCTGTTCAATTTCAGTTTTGAATATTCTAATTTTAATGATATTCATGTTTTATCAATATTTCCGGATTATACGCAACAATAATGTTACAAAACGGTTAAAATAGAGTTAGAATAAAGAGAGGCATCCATTAAGCCTACTTGATTCTACCCGTTAACGAAGAACATTACATTGTCACATTGTTGTTTTATGAGTATATAGATTTCTTCGGAGATTTTATTTTCTACTTACAAGGAAATATCCTCAAGTTTGTCTCTGGCATCTCCATAAAAACTAATATAGATCAAAGCTAATTAAAAGTTACGTCAGTGCATGACGCACTAGTTCCTTGTCTGTCCGCTTTTTTAGCAGTTCTGTTTATAACAAGCATAAGACAGCTAATTGTTTGATATTTTATCTATAGAGAGTATCATTGTGCAACTAGTCATTTGTAAGACTGAGAAGTAACTCCATAAAGTTGTTCAAATGAATTCGAAATATCATCAAATATCGTTCGATACTAACGATATTGACGTCCAACAATTAGGGCTGTTCGGTTGCGCATGAGGATCCGGAACCGCGGTTTCTTCGACAGTTTCTTTTTCTCGGAACCGAGACTTTTTGACTTGCCTTTCTTTTAACAAAATGAAAATACACTACCGACAAAGCTACGAAAAGATATATTTGCCTGTCATCATTTAAAAGAATTCTTTCGTTTACTGTAAAATAAATTCTATTTCATTGAATTGTTACTGCCTGAAAAATTATTTTCCGGTTCTAATCTGAGAATCGCGGTTTCTTTCGTTTCGGTTCTAAGTCGAGAACCGGAACCGCCATTTTCGTTCCAGAACAGAGAACCGAACATCTCTACCAGCAATAATAATAAGTAATAGGCAAATAATAGAAGGAAACTATATGAGACAATGGAATTCAGAGTCGGTACTAACAAGACAATATAATTCGAAAGGCAAAGTCATGAAAAAAATGATATCGCCCGAAATCTGCTGTCATGAAAAATATTCCTTAGTTGAGAAGTGGGACAGACATTATAGACCATAAGGCCCTTAACTTATAGCTAAAAGCATTATATTTGTTCCCTTGGCTATCATCATTAGATATTTGTTGAATTAGATCAATTTTATTCTTTCATGATGAATTCTCTGTTTTTAATGGATTATACTTTTGATATTTATACTAGAAATAGTAAAATCATCCTTCTTCGGGCAAACTAGTGGAGATTGGAATCAGCTCTTACCAGAATTCTTAGTAAATATATCCAGCGTTCGTCGTTTCACACAAGATCTAAACGGCTAATCTCCTTACAGCTTACTCTTTTAGGGCATGAATAAATCTCGTTTATTTTATTCTAATTGTTTTTTATTTCTTTTATTTTGTCTCTTTTTATATTTAAATGTATATGGTCATAATAACAAAGTTTGACTATCTTTTGTGTTTTTCTTTGTTTCATCTATGTAGATATAGATTTTTTTATGACCTATGATCTGTTTCAAAATAACTGAACTGAAAAACTCATTAAATATACAGTTCTGTAGAAAACTCTTCGGCTACCGTTTGGTCTTGTTGAAATACTTATACTAATGGCAGATCTAGGAGCTTTTTAAGAAGGAGAGCGATGGATTCTCAGAAAATAAGTCCATCCATAGTAGATTGAGAAAGTTTAAGACGATGTGACCACCAATTTAGGTGAGGAGGTTAAAAAAATAGCTAAAATCAAGGGCTCACGAGTATAAACTTTAACTACTCTATCTTTCGGAGATATAGGAGGCTTCTTTGTCTGAGAAAAAAAGATTTTAAAAAACGTTCAAGCTCATCTACAGTTCTAGTCTATTCGTTTTTTCATATAGCACGTTATGCTCTTCTCACACACGTTTATGTGAATTATCATAGTCTTCCTATTATCTGTCAGTTTTTCTTTTTTTCTTCTGTCACACTGAATGATTTGCATCTATTTACATGATGAAAAAACAGGTGACCTAAATGAAAGAATATTCTCTTATTGATATCTAGGTTTTTCAGTACGCTGAAAAGAAACTACCTACTGTTTGTTCTTTTCCCTTGCATTCACTCAAAATAAATAAATAAAAAGAAAAGGAACAGAAAATTAATAAATTTTCAGAAAGCCGGACAGCTCTGTAGGTTGAAAACGATTTGTATAATAAATCTCGACTGTTTTTTATTGCTTACTAACAAAATTTCTCTAGTTTGTCTTTCCACGTTAAAAGAATTTTCCGAAATCAAATCTCTTAATTCTAAATTTTCAGTTTCTCGCTTTTCTCTAGATTTCAAGCGAGCTCAAACTTTACACAAATCTTCTACTATCTATAGTACATCCGTATTCCTATGTGTAAATTTTCCAGTTTTATCCTCAAAATAAGTATTTTGAATAAAAGCAATTCGACGTCAGCCTGTGAAACTACATCAAACTAATTAGTATAAAATGATAAGTTTTGAGTAAAAAAAATCTTGTCCTAGTTTCTCCTATGATGACTTTTTGAAAACGCATATTTTTCATTTATAAAATTTTGGTATGAGTAGAAAATGATTCAAAAGAAAAAAAGACTTCTTTTCAAAAAATTTGAATATCCAAATTTCAAGTCAAAATTGTCCGCTGTGATTGAGATGACGGTTCAACACAAAAAACTTCTTAATTAGAATACGGCTCTCACACCATTAAATTAGTCACTGTAGTATTTACATTTTCTCTCTATATAATAAGTACGGATTAAAAGCAAATGTTTTAAAACAATTATTTCTTATTTTTCGTCTTATTAGAAAAATAAATATAATAAAATAAATTTTTGATCCTACATACTATAAAGACATTCTAGCCAAATATAATTAGCAATTAATTTGTGATATAGAAGCTAAAAAGTTTTCATCATCATTCATTTTTAGCATTTTTTCATTTTTTTTTAGGTAAAGAAAGCGCTTATTCTCCTACATCAAGTGAATCTACTCTATTACTATAATAAAAAATGACCTATTAGCAGCTAAAATAATCAAAACAGAGGATGAGTAATACTACAAAAACAAAAATAAATAAGAATAAGCTTTTTCTGTTAATAAATGTTATGACAAATCTCTCATTCTATGATTTAATTTAGCAAATGATGTTAATAAATATAAATTGGTAACATCAAAATGTTACATATATTGTTTATATTTTTCTTGCCTATTTTAATTATCATAATCAGCAACATATAATAAAAAAGTCGATAAAGACAAAAAACTCAGTTTGAGTAGGATCGTCGATATCATGTACGGAGACGAACGTCGCATTTTCAATTAGGTCAAAAAAAAAAACAGTTAATTTTTTTTTATTTGGTTTTTCTTTTTTTATGATAAAAAAAAGCTTTATCATCATTATCATCATTATCGTAAAAAAATCAACGCGAGAACAAGAAGATGAAAATAAACGGAAGACATCCATCATCAAATACTTATATCTCTCTTATTGTACATTTTTGGAAAGAGAAGAAGAAAAAAAAAAAATGTTTGGTTGAAAAAGGTGTCACGCCTGAACGAATGCTGTTTGTTCATGTTTTTTTTTTTTTTTTTGTTAACAAATGAAGTATGATTACATAGAAATAATGTAGTATACACATCAAATTATAGTTTAACGATGTTCTATCTATTGATTTGTTTCGATATACATTGTTTTGTTTATTATTTTTCCATATCAGTAATTTCTGAATCATTCATCAAAGTATATTTCATAAAAATTTAGTATTAGTCATTTTTCTTACAAAAGACAAATTCATAATGGAAATAAAATTAATTTAATAAATATTATTATATATTTATACAACTATCTCTATTTATATTGTTTATAAATTTGAATCATTTAATTTTAAGATTTTGTTTACATAGAACTTTTTCTTGTTTAGATATCTAAGTAAATTTATGGGAAAAATCAAATTATTTAAAAACAAAAATTAATAAAGGTTAGATACAAAATTGTTCTGTAATAAGTGTAATATGTAATTTTAGATAGAATATTCAAATATATTAATTGATAAAAGCGTCTATTGATAAACAAATTGATCGGAAATTCATTTTCAACTAAATAACGTCTTCAGTTATAAAAATAATTTTCTTTTTTACAATTTAGAATCATTTATATTAGAATTATTTGAATTTATTGACTAATTAATAAATGTTATTATCCTAATTCATAATATTATGGATAACGATGGTTTTATACTTGAAAAAATATCAGAAAAAAGCAATGAGACTTATATATCAACACCAAAAAATCATTCAAGAATCAAAGTTCAATCTCACAGTACCGATGATATAATACCAACAGTAAATGATTCAACAATAAATGGTACTAGATTTCAATTATATAATAATAATAGTGAACGTAATACATCTATAAAAACTGTATCCGAACGTATATCAACAATTAGTAAAAATAGTAATGAACAAATATTAAATGAAAGAAATAGTGTTAATTCGGGAAGTATTGCTCCATTACCACCAATATCGTTGAAAGCGACAACAATACCAAATTATGATACAGTTCAAAAACCAAGTGCACATGATAAAGACAACAGTAGCGATGAAGGTGGAGATAAGAATGTTAATCATTATCAAGATGGAGATGAACTCGAAGTACATCAGTTGAGTGTAGGAGATATTGACGCATATTTAGACATTTATTTTGAGACATTAAATAATCGTTTAAAACATTTAATTGGAGGTGATCAAAAATTAATAGAGTTTCGAAATGCAACAAAAGAACGATTAAGTGAGTCTAGAGACTACATCTAATTTAAGATAATAAAGATGGAAAGTCTAAAAGTTTATAAATAAAATATGTTGAATATTAATTATGTTAAGTGTAAATATCAGAATTTAAGAATATTTTGAGAATTATTCTATTCAAATATTAATAAATTTTATATTTTTTATCTTCCATTTTAGAATCGGATCAAAATTCACGAGAATATCAGACTGTTCTGTTAGGCAAAATTGGTGGCGATGTCTTGGCTGCTATTACAATGATATTCAATGCTGATCGAACAACCATAACTCGAACACAAGCGTTCCAATCACAACAACGAGGCTGTCTGACACGTATACATAATTGGATGATAAGTAAAGCAAATTATATTCCAACTTATTCAGAAGAATGTTATATTGAAATGATTGGTGTTAAAGCAAATTATCGTCGTCAAGGCATTGGTGCAGCTATGTTAGAATGTGCTGAACATTTTGCAAGAAAAGCTGGTGCTCGATGGTTAACAATTCATGTTCAGGGAAATTTACGAGACTATTTCGAACGTTTCGGTTTTGATATCGATCCTACAGATCACTCGCCGTTGTGGAAATGGTTAATTGAACGACAATCAACAGAAAAAATGAATAAATCAATAACAGCCGAAGATGACAACGACGACGAAATGGGTGCAGGTGGTTAATCCTATCTCAATGAATCAATGGAATAATTGTGTATGCAAACATGTCTGTTTGACAGAAAGTACTTTTTGTACATATTTTTCAATGTTTGTTTCATAGTGTAATCTGTTCTTCTAGTTATACTCTGCTCTTCTACGTGAGTCTATTTCAAATATGTCTGTCGCATTTGAGCAGTTATATCAAGGTATCATATTTTATAAATGTAGGGGCAAGTCTTCGCTTACAACATACTAAACTATCAGAAAAGTATCACAGAATTAACAGTAAATGCACAGATGTTCACCTGACATCTATCAATTTAACACCTCTAACCTTAGAGTGCAGTTTTGCGTCAGTGTGAACAAAGATATTGTCTAACATCATCAAAATAATTCAGGCAATCTTTTAATTATAACTAAACCATTATTGCCAAGTACAATTGCCAAGTATTAATTTTATGGCATGAAAAGCAGTAAAGGTTACCTTGGCTCTACCGGTAGTGCAACACTAAAATCACCCTTTCCGACGCCTATATTTGCCAGTTTACTAACTTCACCAGCCCATGGACCAGCAGCATTCACAATCATTGCCGCATCCATTGAATAAATTTGATTATCTTCTGCGGCAAGTAGCTGAATGAAAAAAGTCCAGTTGAAATTTATCCTACGTTGACAACATTTCACGTATGCTTACCAATGCTTTATCAAGGTTAAATGTCTCATTGCCGTTTGGAAATTTTTGCGTAAGTTTATCAAAACCAACGAGTTCAGCTATAACAGCAGAGACTCTTGCAATAATGTCAAAGTTAATATAGTCAGACGAGAAAACAAGTTACCCTTAATATAACGAACCCCCAAAGACAATGCCTTTCGACGAAATGCATTTAGTAGCGTCCATGGATCGAACCAACCTTCATTTTGAATGCCTAGAAAACATCTTTAGATTTATCCAGCTTAATTCTGTTATGGAAAATCACATAAGAATCTCACCAAATGATCCAATAGCAATACCATCTGTATTTAACCATGGAAATTGTTGTTTCAAAAGATTCGATGATAATAATTTCACTTTTGCACCCAATGAACTACAAACGAATGTAAACAAATTAATTAGTGTGATTACAAATAGAGAATCGAGACCGTGTTTTTACATTACGTTTGAGTTTTATAATTTTCTTCAAATAATGGGGCTCCTTTTTCACTCGCCAGAATTAAATAACCGTTATGATAAAAATCAATCACAGGCGGATTATTGTCATCTAGAAAGTTACCAAAGTTTATTAAGAAAACATGTAAATATCTTAGCTTAGTTATTTACCTAGTATTGATAGATGTTTACGGATATGTTTCAAAAACTCTGCACCATATACTGACATTTGAATATTTTCTTCCAAACAAAATTGTTGACGCATTCCACCAGCTGACAATACAGTACTAGCAGTTGTATACTAAAATAAATAAGAAATAGGTAATTAAATAAGGTACAGATTTAAACTGCTGTAAAATGATGGTATAACCTGCCAATCTCTTTCAGCCACTGTCACCGACAAATCTGGAGCACGTTCTTTAATAAAATACGCAATTGATGAGCCGATTACACTACCACCAATGATTAATACATCAGTTTGAATTGGAATATTAAGTCCTTCAAAACAATAACCAAATTTTAAATTTCTACTATTAATCACAACAAGCTTACTTTTAATTGTTAGACGATTTCGAATATAATCAATGGTACCATTTTCGGGCACATCGTCTATACGTTTGATTGTATGAGCATTACTTGGATTTATTAAAGAAAAGCTTTTTTTTGAAACTTCTGTAGATGGAGTTGATGATGATGTTGTTGTTTGAGGCAGATCTTTGGACGTTCTTGTCTGAGACAGATCTTTGGATGTCTCATCAGAAGATAAGTTATCGGACGCCCATCGAACAATATGTCTTGTATAAGAATTAGTTTGTTTTAACAAACTAGTTTCTTTACAAACTTGCGAAAAAATAGAATAAAATTTTCGACTCATGATCTCCTATCAATACGATAATATTGCATTTCGTTGTGGTCTAAAACGAAATAGGTTACTGAAGTTTTCTAATGAGAACCACTAATTTATCGAATAATTCTAATCTTTGATTTACCTTCGTATATTACGCAAAGGGTATTTCAATCAAAGTAATATTTCTCACTCAAATTATTTCATTTCTAATTTGGTACATTTGTATTGTCTAACATATTTCTCCGTTGTTTATTATAAAAATATAGTTTTAGCTAATAACTAACAAAAAAACTTCTACATATAAATAGAGATAAAATCAAATTAAGAGATAAATATTGAGAATTATAACAGATAAATAAAATCAAAACATTTTTTAGTTTTATTCACAATATTTCAGCCTTAACTGGTCATTATGAAGTGAAAAATAAAACTGTGAAAAATGTAAATTTATCTAAGAGACACACGAAAAACTCAAGTATGGCTATTCGTATTGGCTTTCGAATTCCATTTCATTAATCACCGATTGATATTAGTAAATACAGAATAGAACGATGTACATGGAAAATGGAAAATAACTGAACGAATACAAAATAATGACCATCCCGTAATACTTAACGATAAGCTTGATTTCTTTGCACTATCTGTATATACATATAATGGTATGGATCAGTCTGTACTATTCAAAACAGATTTTATACCTCTAATTACTATGGATTCTTTAATTAAGAGTTTTTATTTGTGTTTCTCTTTCAATAGAATCTTAAAATCATCCAGATTAATTTCATATCCTTTTCTCACAAAATGCCGTCCAACTGCTGACTTCGGAGCAAACGTAAGTTTATTAAAATTTGGTGAGATAGTATCAGTATTTTAGTACTGTGTATAGTGTTGTCTATTGGCGCAGTTATGTGGATGATGCATTCATTCTTACAGAGTTTTCTTATAATTCTGAACATTCTGGACGGCATTTTGTGAGAAAAGGGTATGAAATTAATTTGGATGATTTTAAGATTTTATTGAAAGAGAAACACAAATATAGGATGTACTATAGATAGTAGAAGATTTGTGTAAAGTTTGAGCTCGCTTGAAACCTAGAGAAAAGCGAGAAACTGAAAATTTAGAATTAAGAGATTTGATTTCGGAAAATTTTTTTAACGTGGAAAGACAAGTTTTAAAACTAGAGAAATTTTTTTAGTAAGCAATAAAAAACAGTCGAGATTTATTATACAAATCGTTTTCAACCTACAGAGCTGTCCGGCTTTCTAAAAATTTATTAATTTTCTGTTTTCTTTTTATTTATTTATTTTGAGTGAATGCAAGGGAAAAGAACAAACAGTAGGTA